AGAAATCTTTTACAAACCTCCTGTAATACCCAACTAATCCCATGAAGCTTCGGACTTTTGTCACATTTATCGGTGTAGGCTAATTCACAATTGTCTCAACCTTTTGCAGGTCTATTGAAATCCCATTCATGTCAATCACATGTCCTACAAGCACAACTTCATCCAACCAAAATTCATATTTCTTTAGTTTTGCATATAATTTCTTCTCCCTAAGCGTTTGCAAAATAGTTCTCTGATGTTGTTCAAGTTCTTCTCTACTTCTCGAATAAATTAAAATATCATCAATCAATACTACAACAAATTCATCAAGATATGATTTAAAGATTCGATTCATAAGGTCCATAAAAGCTGCAGGTGCATTCGTCACTCCAAATGGTATTACTAAAAATTCATTGTGTTCGTACCTTGTTCAGAATGTGATTTTCTCAACATCTTTAGCTTTCACTTTCAGTTGGTGGTACTCGGATCTCAATCAATCTTCGAAAATACTTGTGAATCTGCAACTGGTCAAACAAGTCATCAATACAGGTAGAGGGTATTTGTTCTTAATCATTACCGTATTCAATTCTCGATAATCGATACACAAGCGGAGTGTTCCATCTTTCTTCTTCACAAATAGAACCAGAGCACCCCATGGCGAAGTGCTCGGTCGGATAAAACCCTTGTCAAGCAAATCCTACAACTGTTCTTTTAATTCTTTCATTTCAACCATTTACATTCTATATGGAGTCTTTGAGATGGGTTGAGTACCCAACATAACCTTAATGGTAAATTTGATTTCTCTATCAACCAATTCCCTTGGCAATTCCTCTGGAAACACATTTGAGAATTCTCTAACTACCGGAATATCATTTAACCTAGTATCCACAAATTGCACAGTCAAAATACTACATAGGTAACCCTGACATCCCTTCTTAAGTAATTTACACACTTTCATTGCCAAAATTAAGTAAGATGGAGGTATTACACCATTAACCTCAAACATAAACACATCATATCCTGTTGGTCTAAACAAAACTCGTTTCATTATACAGTTAGTGGTAGCACAATATTTAGACAACCAGTCCATTCCCAAAATCACATCAAAATGTCATATGTCAAGAGGCAACAAGTCTACAAACAACGTAGCATTTCCAATATGTATTTGACAAGCACGATATACAAATGAACACAATACAAATTCTTTGGATGGAGCAGATACACACAACAGATAGGGCAGTGATTCCATGGGTCTATCCAATGAAGATGCAAATATAGTAGATACAAAAGAATGTGTCGAACCCAAATCAATTAGCACATAAGTATCTTGGTTGCAAATAGAAAGAGTACCTGAGACAACGACCTCTGTAATTTTTGTATCACCTAGGATGAGTGCAAAAACTCTTCCTTGCTTAAGTGCGTCTCTAGTTGTCACGATCCAAACCCGCCCCTGTAGGTTTAGCATCGTAACCGGCCAGTAATCTTAGGATTATTGAAGGCCTCTGAAACAGATAAACAAAATAAAAGGGCTAGCGGAAGCAATTAGCAAAGTACAATATCCATAGAGCTGTGCAAACGTATATGAGATGAAAAATTTAAACTTATAATCATATTCATATAGGATGCCATACACATGTCATCCCATGTACAGATAAACAAAAGGGACTTAGCCCTATTTACAGAGTATACAATAGTCTTGTTTAACAAAAGAAAGAAAAGATAAAGATAGACATCATGTGCACTTGACTTGACCACAGAAACACTTGGAAACCTCCTTAGGAGGCATGGTGGTTGGCTTGACAAGAAAGAACTCCAAGCTAGCAACTTAGACCTGGTCCCTCTCCTGATCACCTACATACATAAATAATACAGTGAGCTAGAGTCCAGTGAATAACAACCAAGTAAAGGTTTTATGAATGATGTCCATCACAGATTAGAAATTAGAGTTCATATCAGAAACAGATTCATATTCACATACTTATACAGATTTCACAAATAGTTATATGTGGTACATTCATTAGCTACAGATCACTTGGTCATAAAGACCCACATTCACTTGAGATGGCCATTTAGATGACCCACTTTCACTTGATAAAGACGGTTATGCATAACCAGTTCCATAAATGGAACCCACTTGAAACCCTAGTACTAGGTCACATCTATCACATGAACACTTGATGCTAAGGATGCCATGAATACATTTAAAAAACTGGACAATCATTCATGATTCACATATAGCATTTCAGAAAGCAGATCATATCACATTATTTAGAAAATACTTAAATTCAAACATAGTTTTACAGAGTCGTTACTCACAAATAGCTCCAGAGGTAGAACATATCACTTGAAAAAAACAGATCGATTAGGTGGGTGTTAACACGTGACCTACAAACACATGACAGATACACTTGAAGACACGTGCCATAGGTGTTTAATTTATCATTCTTCTTTCTTAATGCGTGTTTCTAACTCTTATCCTCATTCTTATAGCTTAATCATGGCCTAGGAATGCCTAGGATAAAATGAGGATGCAAACATGTACTTTGAAAACACTTGCAAAATTTTGGAAAACAAGGTAGCTCGCTCGAGCGCAACTTTGGTTGCTCGAGCAGTCTGTAAAGTCTGCAAAAGTATTGGATGCTTGATTTTCACAGTCGACAGTCACTCAACCCAAGTATTGAGAAAAATGATGTTTGCTCGAGCACACAATCGGTCGTCTGAGCCATCGTGCAATTGTCTGCAAAACTACTAAGAGCTCTCATTTCATGCTCGAGCCAACTTTTGGTCACTCGAGTGGAACTTTGGTTGCTCGAGCCAACCATCAAACTTTACAAAAATACTGAGAGCTCGTAATTTATGCTCGAGCAAAGCTTTGGTCGATCGAGTGATGTGACCAAAATTTGGAATTTCCAGATTGCTGTTCCAAGTTCAAAACATGAGTTTAAAGCTTCAAACTAGCTCTTTTGGACAAAAAACTTTAGAAAACATTTGGGAACTCATAGAACTTCATGAATTGGAAGCCATTTTGCAAAATCAAGACCCATTTGCAAGTCAATTCTTCACAATCAAACTTGAAACATTATATATAGATAGATATATACATATACATGCATGCACTAACTCAAAATCTTTGGTTCCAAAACATGTTCAAATGAAGCAAGAAGAGAAGAATCATGTTGAATCTTCAAAATCATGCAAGTATATGCCCATGCATATAAGAAAAACTTGATGAACTATGCATGCATGCATGCATGGATCATGCTCAATTCTACATTCTTATCTTGAATCTCATGTTCATTCTTCTAACTCCCTAGATTTCTTGCACTAAATGACTCAAATTCATAATTTAAAAGTTGAATTTCCTACCTTAAGTCTTCAATTGGGCTCTATATAGCAAATAATCCCTTGAGTTTCCAAGCCAATTCTTTCAAATTCTTTCTAATCTCTCCAAGTCTTCCTTAATTCCCTCTTGTTAATCTCTCTCTCTCTCTCTCTCTCTCTCTCTCCACGTTAAAAGAGCTCAAATGATGAAAGGAGAGTATATAGAATGTTCTAAGGCTTAACATGAGCCTTATATAGGCTTCACTAATCAATCTAGCATAAACTAATCAAATTGTAATTATTTATTTCTAATTATTTGATTCCGAATTGAATTCTAATTAAGTTACTAGAAATTTCTAAAAATTCCAAATAACACTTTAACGTAGTCGATTTCGTGTTCAGATGCTGACAAGGCCTACAATTTGCATACCAAAACAAAATTTCAAACAGCTATTCCTACCATAGACAGATATAAATACAAATAACACATAACACATGCAATTAACTTAGGATTTCATTTTAATTACTTGTTAGGCATTCTTAATCAAGGATCATAGGCTAATCATAGGTTAGGGTTGTCACAGTCTTTTCCTCTTAAAGAGTTTGGCCCTCAAAACTCGAATTACCTTCATTTTGGAAGAATGCCGGGTCTAGAGGGAACAAATCTAGATATCATTTCATCATTTCTTTTTTGGTCTCCCAAGTTGCATACGTCCCTCTGTGATTTTGCCAATCTACTTTCACCAACGGGATTTCTTTGTTTCTTAATCTTTTGATCGTTCGGTTGACAATTTGAATCTGCTGTTCTTCATATGTGAAGTCATCTTTCATTCGTACGTTTGTGGGTTCAATCACATGTAACAGGTCTCTTAAATAATTTCGAAGCATAGGAACAAGAAAGACATTGTGCATATTCTCCATGATTGGAGATAAAGTCCCTTGATACGTCACCGGATTAATTTTCTCAATAATTTCATACGGCCAATGTACTGCGGTGCTAAGTTTCCTTTAACTCCAAATCGTGTATGCCATTTCATAGAAGTCACTTTGATAAACACATGGTCACCTACTTCATACTCTCTATCTCTTCTTCGGACATCCGCATAACTCTTTTGACGACTTTGAGTGGTTTTCAAACATTGCTGAATCAATTTTACTTTCTTAATCGTCTCTTGCACAAGTTCCGGTCCCAATAATGGTCTATTGCATACTTTGGCCCAACAAATCAGATATCGACATTTTCTACCATACGAAGCTTTATAAGGAGCCATATCGAGACTTGAATGGTAATTGTTGTTGTACACAAATTTGGCCAATAGTAAATAAGTTTCCCAATTTTCTTGGAAGTGTAACGCACACATTCATAGCATATCTTCCAAAGTTTGTATAGTTCTTTCTGATTGGCCATCCTTCTGTGAGTGATAAGCACTACTCAATCTTAATGCGGTTCACAAGGCTTGTTGCAAACTCTGCTAAAATCTTGAGGTAAACTTAGGATCTCTATAAGATATAATAGACAGTGGCACCTGTGTAATCTCATAATTTCATTCACATAAATATTAGCCAATTTATCTGCATTATAAAAAGTTTTCACAGGTAGAAAATGAGCAGATTTAGTTAATCGATCAACTATGACCCAGATAAAAAATATACTTCCATTTCCATTTTGGTATTTGAAGCGGTTGAAGTAATCCAGCGGGTCATTGATGTTCTGCTTTCACTTGTTGACCATGCAAACACTTGGCTACAAAGTCAGCAATACATTTTTTCATTCTTGGCCACCAATCTTTGTACATGTTTGTATTCCTTGGATGCATAGCAAATTTAGAATTGTGTGCCTCGGTCATGAAAAGCTTTCTCAATTCTGAACAATCCGGTACACAAAGCCTACCCTGAAATTTCAATACATTACTTTCCAACACAAATCCCAGTCTTGGTTTGGAATCAACAATCTTTTTCAAAAATTCATCTTTTAGTTGTTTTTCTTTACCTTCTTCAATTATAGTTGGCTGTGCAAAAATAGAAGCTAAGACTCCACCCTGTTCATGCAAAACAATCTCAATTTTATTTCTTTCCAGATCACACAATAATTCCTTTTGACCGGTGAGCAAACATGCCAAATTCCCAATGGATTTTCTGCTCAAAGCATCTGCAACGGTATTTACCATTCCCGGATGATACAAAATTTTCAAGTCATAATCTTTGATTAGTTTAAGCCGTCTTCTTTGTCTCAAGTTCAATTCCTTATGAGTGAAAAAGTATTTCAAGCTTTTATGATCAGTATACACCTCATAAGTAGTTCCATACAGATAATGGCGCCAAATTTTTAGTGTAAACACCACAGCTGCAAGCTCAAGATCATGGGTTGGATAATTCTTCTCGTGAGGTTGGAGTTGTTGAGAAGCGTAGGCAATTACCTTACCATTTTACATTAGCACACACCCCAATCCTTTATATGAAGCATCACTATAGATTTAGAATCCATCTGTACCAATCGGCAAAGTCATAATAGGTGCAGTTACTAATCTGGTTTTCAATTCTTAGAAGGCATACTTTCTTTGGTTATTCCAATCAAACGGTGCATTTTTCTATGTTAACTGAGTTAGTGACATAGCAAGTTTGGAGAAATCTTTTACAAATCTTCTGTAGTAACCAGCATGCCCCAGAAAGCTTCTAACTTCTGTCACAGTAGTCAGTCTTGGCCAATTCGCAATAGCTTCTATTTTCTGTGGATCAACTAATATGTCATCTTTGTTGATTACATGTCCCAAAAATGTTACACTTTCAACCCAAAATTTGCATTTGGACAGTTTTGCATACAATTTCTTTTCTCTCAGAAACTGTAGCATAGTTCTCAAATGATTTTCATGTTTTTCCTTGCTTTGAGAGTAAATCAAGATATCATCTATGAACACAACAACAAATTCATCAAGAAATTATTTGAAGACCCTATTCACTAGGTCCATGAATGTTGTAGGCGCATTAGTTACCCTAAATGGCATTACCAAAAATTCATAATGTCCATATCTAGTCCGAAATGCAGTTTTCTCTATGTCTTCAGCTTTGACTTTTAACTGATGATACCCGGATCTAAGGTTTATCATGGAAAACACTTGGGCTCCCTGAAGTTGGTCAAACAAATTATCTATTCAAGGTAGTGGGTATTTATTCTTGATAGTTACTTTTTTCAACTTTCAGTAATCTATACACAATCTCAAGGTTCCATCTTTCTTCTTGATAAACAAAACTGGAGCACCCCAAGGTGAAGTGCTCGTTCGAGTAAACTTCTTGTCTAACAGGTCTTGCAGTTGAATTTTCAATTCTTTCAATTCAGAGATCGATATTCTATAAGGGGTTTTGGAAATTGGTTGCATTCCAGGTACTACTTCAATAGTGAATTCATTCTCTCTATGGACTAAGTCACCATGTAGTTCATTTGGGAATACATCGGGAAATTCATTGACTACATGGATGTTCTCTTGCATTAGCACTAGCTGTGGGCTCAGTTAATACATAGCACAGATAACCCTGACACCCTTTTCTCAATAGTTTATTAGCTTTCATTGAAGAGATCAAATACAGGGGAGGAACCACACTATTTCCAGCAAATATAATTTCGGGTAACCCAAGTGGTCAAAATACAACAGATTTAGTAACACAATCGATGGTAACGCAATATTTCGTCAACCAATCCATACTCAATATGAAATCAACAAGATCAATAGTCACAGGCATTAAGTCAACATATAATAGCACATCGCCAATCATAATGTCACATGCAGGATACACATATGCATATAACAGAGAACCCCCAGATGGTGTAGATACAGATAATACATAGTTCATTTGTTCTAGAGGTCTAGTCAATTTTCGAGAAAAAGTATGCAACACAAAATAATGTGTAGATCTAGAATCTATCAATACATAGTCATTTTGGGCATAGATAGGAGGTATACCTAACACCATAGATTCGGTGTTCTGAACATCTCCTGGCACAAGTGCAAATACTCTCCTTTGCCTCAAGGTTTGTTTGCCTATATTAGTTCTTACATTTGTTCTCAGTACAGAAGCAGATTTGGCTAAACTTACCGTAAGGCGGTTAGTAGTTTCAGCTATGAGTGGACAATCTTTTACCATGTGGCCAATCTTGCCACACGTGAAGCAGGCACCTGTAGTATGGTAACATACACCCTTGTGTTTTCTTCCACATTCAGGACAGGTAGGTGCAGATCCACTACAGATAATACATAGTTCATTTTTTTCTAGAGGTCTAGTCAAATTTTCAGAAAAAGTATGCGACACAAAATAATGTGTAGATCCAGAATCTATCAACACATAGGCATTTTGGGCATAGATAGGAAGTATACCTGACACCATAGATTCGGTGTTTTGAACATCTCCTGGCATAAGTGAAAATACTCTCCCTTGCCTCAAGGTTTCTTTGCCTATATTAGTTCTTACATTTGTTTTCAGTACAGAAGCAGACCTGGCTAAACTTACCGCAGGGCGGTTGGTATTTTCAACTATGAGTGGACAATCTTTTACCATGTGGCCAATCTTGCCACACATGAAACAGGCACCTGTGGTACTGTAACATATACCATTGTGTTTTCTTCCACATTCAGGACAGGTAAGTGCAGATCCACTACTTTGACTTGAGCTGCTCATAGATTCCGTATTTTGCTTCTTTGAGAATGATCGACCCTTTCTGAAATTGAATCCAGACCGTTTTCCTTTCTATTCAGTTGTTGGGGCTTTGGTTTGTTTCATGGCTTCTAAATTAGCTTCAGTCATTAATGCTCTATCAAGAACATCTACATATTTAGGCAATTTTAGAACACCCACTCGATCAAACACATCCAGATTAAGCCCACCTTCAAACTTTTGAGCCTTCTTGTGGTCTGTGTCAACCATGTGCATTGCAAATCAGACTAACTCGATGAACTTAGCCTCATACTCTACCACTGACATACCTCTTTACTTTAACTTCTCAATTTGTGACACTTTTTGGTCTCAGAAGCATTGAGGGAAATATTTTTCATAAAAGATCTCTTTAAATTGATTCCATGTCATAACCCCATTATTATCTCGGATCAACATCCACCAATGCCTAGCTTCCTTCTTTAGTGTGTAGGTTGCCAGCAAAACCTTCTGAGTTTCAGAACATGGAAACACTTCAAATAATTTTTGTCTCAAGCATCCAAGTTTCATCCTTCAATGGTTTAATACCACCCATAAAAGTCGGTGGCTCCATTTTTTTAAATTTCTAGGTCAAACTGATAATGTCATTGTTCACAGGTTCAATTTGTAGTGGAGAAGGCGGATGAGGCAGTTGTTTGGTTTCAGTTAAAGCTTCTAACATTCTTTCCATTCGGTCTATTTGAGCATCAGAGGATTCAATCATATCATCACTTCTTGTTCTCTCCATTTGCTATAGGTAAACAGGGCACTAATAAACATAGGCAAATAGTCTTTTCACAGTATTCATAATGGTATTTCATGCTGTACATATGCACATGTCCATTTTAGTTCAGATATGTTCATATATTTGTCACATACACTCACACATGCAGATGTAATGTCCCTAATTCTTTTTAGGACATCCTATAGCTCATATGGACTCATGTGTGTGGTATAACATGTGCTCTGATACCACTCAGTCACGATCCAAATCCGCTTCTATAGGTTTAGCATCGTAACCGGCTAGTAATCCTGGGATTAACGAAGGCCTCTAAAACAGATAAACAAAATAAAGGGGCTAGCAGAAGCAATTAGCAAAGTACAATGTCCATAGAGCTGTGTAGACGTATATGAGACAGAAAATTTAAACTTATAATCATATTCATAAAGGACGTCATACACACATCATCCCATGTACAGATAAACAAAAGGGACTTAGCCTTATTTACAGAGTATACAATAGTCTTGTTTAACGAAAGAAAGAGAAGATAAAGACAGACATCACGTGCACTTGACTTGACCACAGAAACACTTGGGAACCTCCTCAGAAGGCACGGTGGTTGGCCTAACAAGACAGAACTCCAGGCTAGCAACTTAGGCTTGGTCCCGCGCTTGATCACCTACATGCATAAATAATACAGTGAGCTGGAGCACGACCCAAACCCACCCCTATAGGTTTATACGACCTCTATTAACAAAATATCCTTAGATTAATTTGCAGGGCTTAGCGGAAGCAATATAAGACTTGAAAATAATCCATTGAGCTGCACTTATATGAAAATACCTCATATTATAGTTGTGCAACCATTCTTTAAGTACATACATCACAGAAGTTTAAAACATCTAATCCATACATCAAAACTCCATAATTCATAATTAAAAAAAGCCCCATTATACAACATTAAAGTACCAAATAGGTCACAAAACAAAAACGGGTTTAACTTGCTTGGCTCTACACAAGCCTAACTTGCTTCAGTTTGGAAGTTTTTCAAAAAGGATGGCAATGGGGTGGACATGGAGGCATTCCCTAACCTTGGCATTCCGTTTGCTCACTTGCATATACATATAAATAGTGAGCTAGGGCCCAGTGGGTAATAACAGAATAAAGAGGTTATGTGAATGAAGTTCGATAACATTTCAAATATCAATTTCCAATTTCTATTCAAATCTCGATAGCAATAGCCATTTCAATCCATTTACGTGGTACATCCAATAGAATAACAATGCATTAATGACAATGGATCCACAAGGGCCATTCAATGGGACCACGATGGGTCATTCAATATTCCATATTCAATGTGACCATATGGGTCTAACATTAGAGAACTCTGTGTTTCAATGAATCCAATGGGAGGCGAGGGTCAATGGTGTAACATCCTGTCCTACATCGAAAGTTTGCATAGGTGATCTTAGGCATATAAAGTACCACTACCTTGCTACTAAGTAACTTAGACTTAAGCTTTTGGGTATGGCTGGTTAACCCATAGGTTACTTGGGCCAGCAAGTAGTGGAGCGTTACAAATGGTATCAGAGCCGACTCTCTAAAGTATCGAGTGTGGTCCCCTGGCGTCTCTCGGTGCATGTGGGTGGGCCTGCGAGCTGGTAGGCTATTGCACGGGGACGTGCAACGTTAAGGGCGGTGGATTATAAGGTTCTGGTGTCCCACATCGGGAATGGAGGGGGAGCTCCAGGGCTATAAAAGTGAAAACCTAGACCCTTATATAGCATTGAGGCCTTTTCCTGGGTGGTGAGATCCCTAGTAGAACCCCCCAGTTAAGCGTGCTTAGACTGGAGTAGTTTTGGGATGGGTGACCCACTAGGAAGAACAAATCCGTGCGGGCGTGGCCCAAAACAGACAATATCGATGATGTGTAAAGGGTTGGGCGGTTACAAATGGGCCATGGTATTATATCACAGGGCAAAGGGCCTATTAAACAATGGATGCCATGAATACATTTTCAAAAGGGAACTTCATTCATTCATAAGAAATTAACATCTTAATAAACTATTCCATCAATCATCATAACGTTTTAGTAAACCATTCAATCAATTATTTATCAATTTTGAGAACAATAATAGTTTCAAAAATAAATATAACTTGAACATGTCTTTATAAAATTACTACTTACAGTGGGTTCTATCGACGCTAGGCATCGGACGTCCACCTAAACAAAACACATAACAAATACACAATTGAAGCACCATTTAATAACCATTTCACTTTAATTCAACTCTTTTCATGTGTTTCTAACTCATTCCATAGTTATATGAGTCCAATTGGTGCCTAAGAATACTTGAAATGATATGAGGACGCAAGTATGCGCTTAAAAGAGTTAGTCAAAATTTGCTGAAAATAGCGTCTTTGCTTGAGTGCAACTTTGGTCACTTGAGTGGTCTGCAAAACTTTACAAAAGTACTGGTTGCTTGATTTTTAGGCTCGAGCTAATTTTCTATCGCTCAAGTCATGAGTAGTGCAAAACAGGGTTCGCTTTAAGTGCAAGTTTTGCCGCTCGAGCCACAATGCAAGTGTCTGCAAAAATACTAGGAGCTTGAATTTTACGCTCGAGCGACACTTTCTTCGCTCGAGAGAACTGGTCGAATTTTGCAATTTCTAGAATTGAGTTTGAAGCTCAAAACATGAATTCAAAGGTTCAAAACTTGCAAGTTTGGTACAAAAACATGGAAAAACATTGCGTAATATGAAAACGTAGTCAATTTGAAACCAATCCCTCAAAATCATGAACCAAATTCCTAAAATCAAGCTTAAACCATGAAGTTGAAACCATGCAAGAGATGAACTCTTTAATCTCTTTGTAAAACTTTACCAAATGGTAGGAAAAGTGTAAAAACATGAGGAACTCTTCAAATAAATGTTTGAGGTTCCCATGCATTTAGAGAATTTCATGGAATTCAAGTTCAAATTGGTGATTCATGCATGCATGTATATGATTATGCTCAACCTTCGATAACTATGATGATCCTACATATGCCTTCTAAATTCATGCAAGTGGCCTCATAGCTTGGTGAATTCATTTCTTTTATGGATTATCTTCAAGAATTGAGTGTGGTTTCCATACCTAGAGTTGAATTCAAGTGTTATCTTGCTTAATTCTCCAAGTCTTCCTCCAATCTCCTTCAAATTCTCCTTGTTCTCTCTCTAAGTTGAGTTTTCTCCCTCTCTCTTAACAATCTCGGCCCATGTGTTGTATAATATGATCTCAAAACATGATTAAGGCCTTATATAAGGTGTAATTAACTTAGGCTAATTAAGCTTGCTTAGAACTAGTTAAGCCCACTTAGTTTTAATTAATTGTAATTATTTTGATCCGAATCAAATTTCAATTAAAGTTGTCATAAAATTCTAAATATTCTAATTAACCTATTGC